GTCGCCAGCACCGGCGTGGTGACCTGCGCCGTGGCCCGGGCGATGCCCGCCACCGCCAGCCCGGCGCCGATGACGCTGACACCGTTCACGCCCCCCGAAATGGTCAGCAGGTTATCCCCCGGCCTCGCCGAGACGGCGTTCGTCTTCAGCCCCGCAGCGGTGCCGGAGACGTCGTCGATGTACAGCTCCTCGTCCACCCTGAGCCGCGGGGCGCCGCCCAGGAAGTTCTCCACGAGGCCGAAGTTGGCCAGCGTGGTGGCGTCCTGGGCCTCTATGCGAACGTTCGTGCTGCCGGCGCGCAGCGTCAGCGCGGTGCCGGAGCCGTGCACGGCGCCCGTCACCACCGGGTCGGGCACGCCGCCGCTGGCCTCCAGGCTGGAGAGCCGCGTCTCGTGGTCGATCACTTGCAGGTTCAGGTTCTGCAGGCCGGTCTCGGTGCTGAAGGGCGCGAAGGTGCTGTCGGCCAGGGATCGGGTGTAGAAGCGCCCGTCCGCCTCCGATTTGCTCCAGGCGTCGCAGGTCAGCTCGGTTATCGCGCCGCTCAGAATGTAGGACCAGCCCAGTGGGGCACGAGGCAAGATGCCAGCTGCCGGGGCGTGGCAACAGCGTCCCTTATCTGCGTAAAAACCTCCGCGTTGCCGGTGGTCGCGTTGGTGACCAGATACCGCCCGTCCAAGGTGCCGGTGTAGCCTGTGGAGCTCAGGTAGCGCCCGTCGGCTTCGGCTTTCGAGTAAGCATCGCAGCGGAGCTCGGTGATGGTGCCGCTGAACAGGTGGCTCCATGCCAAGGGCGCCCTGGGTAGGATGCCTCGCAGTTGTCTGGGAATGGACACAGTGTCTCGAAGCAAAGTGAAGACTTCTGCGTTGCCAGGGTTGGCGTTGGTCGGGAAATACCTGCTATCGCATTGGGTTCTGGTGTAATAATCGCTGAGGTCCACGCTCTGGCCCGCGATGGCTGCGTCCACCTCCGCGGCCGTATAATAAGGGACCAGCGCCCCCGAAATGGCCGTGGAGACCTGCGCTGAAGTTTGGTACTGGCCGATGTTCAGCGCGTCCATGGCGCCGGAGACCAAGCTGTTGACCTCGGCCTGGGTGTAGGTCTCGGCCTTCTCGTAGCTGTCGCAGTCGATCTCCAGGGTGTCGGTGTTGTTCTGGAGGCTGGCGCTCAGGGGGCCCGCGAAATGCAGGTTCCGAAGCTCGTAGGTGGGCGGGTTCGCGCCCTGGCCAGGGTTACCGGCACCAAGGCGGCCGTAATGGCCGCGTCGGTCTGGGCGCTGGTGTAATACGGGCCGAGGTTGATGGCGGCCACGGCGGCCGCGATCGCGGCGTCCATCTGCGCGGTGGTGCTGTAAGCGGCCAGGGCCGCGGCGATCGCCGCGTCGCGCTGGCCCGCCGTCTCGAAGGGCGCCAGGGCGGTCGCGATGGCTGCCGCGACGGCCGCGTCTGCCTCGGCCACGCCGCCAGGCTCAGCGTGAAATTGTCGTTCTGGAGGCTCTCGGGGCGCGTTGAAGTGGAGGTTCCGCAGGGTGTTGGTGCCCAGCAGCAGAGCCTCGTGTCCCTGAGGCCCAGGGCCGCGTCCAAGACCGCCTGGGTGACCTGGCCCAGAAGCGCGGTCGCGATCTTCTGGTCCACATCCGCGGGCGTGGTCTTGAGGCTGACCGCCGCGGTCAAGTCAGTGGTGCTGGGCCGGTCCAAAAGCGCCGTGGTGATGCGTTGGTCCACGTCTGCTTGCCCGCGAGGTCCAGGGCCAGCTGGTCGGTGACGGTCCTCAGGGCGTAGCTGCTGCCCACCGTGGCCAACGTGGCATTGTTGGCGGAGGTGATTGCAGAGTTCATCGCTGCGGTGGTGCTGTAGCTCGCCAGCCTGGCGTCCACGGAGGCGGGCGTGGATTTGGCGTCCACCTCCAGCTGCAGCGCGTCCAATGCGGATTGGTTGGCCTTCCCCGCCAGCCCTGTCATAAAAACTGGTGTTCAGGGCGGTGATGCTGGAGGAATTGGCGTCCGGCGGGCCGGGCAGCCCTGCCACCTGGGCCTGCACGGAGGCCACGGCCGCGGCGTTCGCGGCCACCCCGGCGGTGTTGGTTCCGATGGCCGCGGTGTTGGCTGCCGTGTCGGTTAGGGGCGTATAGGCGGTCAGCACGGTGGCCAGCTGGCCGGCGGTGATTCCAGAGATCTCGGTGGTGCCCCCATCGTTGAGGATGTTCCCGGTGATGGTAGACTCGAATAAGCTCATGGTTTCCTTAGTCCAAGACGGAGACGCCGGCGCCCGACAGCGTCACAATTTGGTAGCTCACCAGGTGGATGTACATGCGCTGGACGCGGTCCGCCAGCATGTTCTTGAAGGTGAACCTGGCGAGGTCGCCCGACCGCGTGCTGATTCCGCTCAGCGGGTGCTTGGGGACGCGCTCCGTGGGGAAGGCGGCGATGAACTCGTTGTTCGAGTAGAACTGGTCCACGATGCGCATGTTCTTGATCTTGGAATCGTAGGTCCCCCCCATGATCTCCAAAAAGTGGTGGAACTCCGCAGAGCTGGTGATCGCGTTCCTCGGGTACTGCAGGGCCCCCAGCTGCATCTGGCCCTCGAGGTTGAACGGGTGCGCGCCGGGCCCTGGATACTCCAGGTTTCGGCACTCGCCGAGGGAGTGCGTGGTCTGCCTGAAAGTCACAAAGGCCCCCATCAACTTGGTGTAGGCCCTGGCCGCCGTCACGTTGTGGCTGGTGACGCCCGCGGGCACGTTGGAGACCTGGGTGTGCATGGTGGGGTGCCCGAGAGCAGCACCTTGTTGAAAGACTCCACCAGGGCGCTATCCAGCGTCACTTGGGAGGCCAAGACGCGCACGCTCTCGATGCTGAAATCGCTGGTGCCGCCGGCCGGGCGCAGCGCGTCCCCGGCCTCCGCGAACTCTATCTCGAGGACCAGATTCAGCTGCGGAGGCAACATCTTGCCGCTCTGGAAGAGCCCGATGAGGGTGGGGGCCATCAGCACGTCCCGGTACTCGCCGGCCGGGATGGCCTGCGCGTTGCCGCCCGGGTCTTGCCAGAAGCCCTCGAGGCCCCGCTGGTTGTACCACTCTTGCGGCTTCAGCAAGGAGTACAGGAAGCAGCTTCGCCCGTACTCGCTGATGTCATCGGTGCGCTGGCCGTTGGAGTAGAGCTGGATCCTCTTGATGAAGCAGCTGGGCTCCAGGGTGCCGGGGAACAGGTCGCTGGTGGCGTCGTTGTTCCTGACCCTGAAGGCGATTTTCACGCTCTCGGGGTCGATGAAATCCATGCCGCTGGTCAGCGGGATGCGGGCCACCCTGCTGGTGGTGGGCGTGAAGGTGGAAAGCGAAGATGGATAATACTGGACGTCGCAGCTGGTCGAACGAGGGCTCTGCCCCGCGGTCACTGCGGCTCTGGCGGCTGATCCTGGAGCCCTCGCTGCCGCTGGACTGGCCCTGCGGACGCGGCAGGGGGATGGGGTTCAGGCCGAAGGGCGAGGGCGGCTGCCTCGCGGCCCTGGCGCGGACCCGCGGAGCCGGCTGGGCCCTCGGCGCCGAGTCGCTGTCCGAGTCGATTCGGATCACCTCCGGGCGCTGGCGCTGGCTCTGGTGCATCGCGAAGTGCTGCTGCACGCCCGATTCCTGCATGCCGTTCAGCGTCATGATGTCCACGGCGCCGCTGCTCCGGCTTTGGTCGCTGTCGGTGCCTCCCCCCACCCCCCGGAGAAGCCCATGATGTGGCTTGCCGCGTTGAGGCCGCCCTCGATGGCCCAGGCCGTGCCCACCAGCGCTGCCGCTGCCCCCGCCACCGCAAGGCCTCCCGCCGCCGCGCCCGCCGCGCCCGCGACTCCCAGCGCTGCCTCGCCCGCGGTCGCCAAAATTCCGGCGCCTGCGCCGCCCGCCTCAGCTGCAGCGGCCGCCTCGGCGCCCGAGGCCGCGGCCTCAGCAGCGCTCGCAAAGCCCTCCGCCTCCGCCTCCGCCATCGGGCCCTGGGTGAAGGCCTCTATGTCCTGGATGGCCCTGGCCTCTTGCAGCGCCGCTCTCTGCCCGGCGCGCTCCAGCAGCGGCTCCACTTCGCTGGGCCTGCCGATGATCTGCGGCGGCGCCACCTTGTCGGGCGGCGGCGCCAGCCCCTCCGGTGTCCTAGGAATGCGAAGCGTCCTGTCCAGCCATCCCTCGGCGAACTGCCGTGCGCCGAGGCGGCGATGGCCGTCTGGGCCGCGGTAGCCCTCGTTATGGGCCTCGAAGGCCTCCGCAGGGTTGACGTGGGTGTGGGGCATGGGTTGGTCGCTCAGGGCCTCCGAGCTCTGGGGAAAATCGTCAAGGAAGAAGTGGCTGGCCATGTAGACCGAAGCATTGCGCTTTGGCACGTCCTGTGCGGCGCGGCGCACGCCGGCCCGTTCAGCGGCAAGGGTGCGCCAGATCAGCCGCCAAAACCGCTTCGAGCAGCTGGCCGTGGCGGCCAGCATGGATGTCTAAAGGAACCATGATGCCCCTGGAGCGGCGGAACGAGCCGCAGATGCTTCGCAGCTTCTGGAAGC